TCTTCTCAGCCCTGAGATCATGCCTGGCAAGCCAGCTCTTCCTCGGCATGCCTCACCTGAGCAATGAGCAGGGTCCACGCTTGGCAAGGCAGCGCTTCACAGGCCTGGCACCTTTGAATTCCCCTTAGTGAGGAATGTGGGGCGATTTGCCTGATTTTGCTGGGCTTTTCCTTCTCATGCGTAATACTCTATTTTCCTTGCTTCTGCCCGAGCGTGGCGGTCCTGTCCGGCCGTGGACCGAAGGCACGACTTGGCCCGTTGTGGCGCTCAGCAGCTCCTGGTTGGAAACGAGAAGGTTGAAGAGTGTCTCGCGCTTTGAGGCTGTTGGAAGGGCTGCTGTTTCCTTGGAGGGAAGTGAAAGAGAGTAAGTTCTGTGTTTCTTTTTCTTTGTGGCAAAGGGTTTATCTGCAGAGCTGCCCGGCAATGCTGCTTTTCTTTTAGTGGGGATAGCTGGGGATAGAGAAGGCAGGTTCCAGTGAGCAAGGCAGCCTGGTCTTCCGGGGACAGTCAGCTGAGTCGTGAGGTGACAGCGCCATCTATGGGGGCCTTCCTGGATGTGGCTGAGCTGCTTGGCCCTTGCGAGGTGCCTTTGCACGGAGTGGGTTTGGGAGGCCTTTTCCAAGGCACCTGTAACGCTAAGCCTTTGGCTTCTCCGCTGCAGGGTATCTGCCCGCCATGGTGCTGGATATGAAGCATTCCACCAGGCAGCCTGTGGAAAAGAGGAGGACGGCAAGAAGAGATGTGAGCCGAGGCAAGAGTTCTGCGCCCCCGTCAGGATGCCGCTGCCTATCAGGACGGTGGAGGCGAAGAAGGTGGGTATCGCAAGCACTTCATAAACATGCTTTCTTAGGAAGGTCAGGTTGGAGCTTGAATTACCCCACACCAGGCAAGCCGCCTCTTTTTGGGGTGGCAGAGTTGGCAAGAGTTTCTTTCAGTGCTTGGCCCGAAGCCCCTTCCAGGGGTTGCTCTTTCTTGAGCTGCTGGTGGCCAGCTTCCCCTTCATGGGGGGGTCTGAGCCGAGTGCCAGATTAGACTCGTGGCGGGGAAGCCTCTTTATGAGGTGGGGCCCATGTTGGAGATTTCCAGCCACGCCAGGCCAGCTTCCCCTTCATGGGGAGGCCGGAGCCAAGTGCCAGATGAGACTCGTGGCAGGCCAGCCTCTTTATGAGGTGGGGCCCATGTTGGAGATTTCCAGGCACGCCAGGCCAGCTTCCCCTTCATGGGGAGGCCGGAGCCGAGTGCTAGATTAGACTCGTGGGGAGGCCTCTTTATGAGGTGGGGCCCACGTTGAAGGGATTTTGTGCCACGCCAGGCCAGCTTCCCCTTCATGGGGAGGCCGGAGCCGAGTGCCAAGTTAGACTCGTGGCGGGGAAGCCTCTTTATGAGGTGGAGCCCACGTTGAAGGGATTTTGTGCCACACCAGGCCAACTTCCCCTTCATGGGGAGGCCGGAGCCGAGTGCCAGATTAGATTCGTGGCGGGGAAGCCTCTTTATGAGGTGGGGCCCATGCTGAGGCGTTTTCCAGTCCCATCACACCAGGTACCCCTTTATCGAGAGGACTGAGCGCAGCGCTGGAGTCTGCCTGTGCCAGGGAAGTGTTGCTTCATGCAGAGCACTCGACTTGACCTTCCCAGCATGATTTCTTGGCTGGGTTTGGACAGAGCTTGCATCCCTCTTCAAGGGGAACAGCCATGGTGGTAGTTGAGCGGATAGTGGCTCAGCAAGCCAGCCCTTCATGGGCAATGCCTTGGTCCGTTGAAAGAGCGAGCTCCTACAGCATTGGGAAGAGAAGGAAAGGGTCCTGGGCCAGCATGCGCGAGCAGCCCCTTTGCACGAGGGGTCAAGTCAACACCTCCCCGCTCGGCACTGCGAATTGTGCCTGCTGGCAGCGGTGCTGTATGAAGAGGGTGCGGTCGGAGGCGGCTCCTTTGGCCAGAGACACCAGTGCCGCTCACTTGAGGCCCTGTCTGGACAGGCAGGGTGGGGTGCAGTTCACCTGTTGGACTGCGGACCAGGCAGATCTGCCTTTGTCCCCGTGGTGTAGCCGCGAAGCTGAGTGGGGATTTGGCCCCACAGGGTGGTTGCCGTGAAGGCTTAGTGGGGGAGGAAAAGCAGCTTGCGTATGCAGTGCTGACGGGAAATGCCTCCTGGCAAGAGAGCTGCTGCTCGGAATTCTTCTCAAGGCAGGCGAGCAGCCTCTGTGTGGGGACGAGTGTGGGTTGAAGGGGAGCAAGGGCTGTGTCCTCCTCACGGGGACAGCTCAGCGCAGTTCTGGCTTAGATTCATGCCTGGCAGGTTCCCTCGCCATGAGACGGATCAGCTTAGTCCTCAGATGGATGCGTGGCAGGCCGCTGCACGCTTCCCCGCATTGGGCAAGGGGAGACCTCCCTTGGAAAGAGTCCCAGCCTTGCCCGCCCTACAGGGTTGCTGCTGTGAGGATAAGAAAGAGCCTGGAGAGCCCCCTTGGCTTTCTCAGGAGAGGTAAAGGGCCCAATCTAAATGCAGAGCTCTGCTGCTGCTGCTGCTCGTCTCGCCCTAGTCCACTCTTGGCCAGGCGTCTCTGCTGTAAGAAGAGGCAGCTGTTAATACCCCCTTCTCCCAGGCTGTGGCCGTTGGCCCCTGGATGCCCCAGCCCTGCAGTTGCCCGCACTTGGGAAGTCGCGACCTCCTTTGCAAATTGTATTTGTAAATACGGAACGAGAAATCCTTCTCCACTTTGATGGCAGCCTCAGTCCCCTGGGGAGAAGGTTGACGCTTCCTTGTTGCAACAGGAACTGTTGACTGACATCCCCGAGGGCTTCTGGGTTGAGGCTCCTGCAGAGACAGGCCTCCCTGCAAGTGCTAGCCCCGTTAAACTCAAAGTGGAAAAGGGGGTCTGGCTTCCTTGCGTGGCATAGAGGCTGCTTCCCCGCAGGCCTGAGGGGGCGTTGCTCTGCTGGTAGGACTCCTTTTCAGCTCGAGGCGTTGCGGTGCGCCCCACCAGCCGCTAAGAAAGCAAAAGCCTGTTTTGAAGCCCTGACTCTGTGTCCTTTGCCCGTCTGGTTGGGACACCCCCACCCCCACCCCCAATTGAGGCCCTCGCTCAGAAATGGCTCTGCAGAGTCAATGGTGCTCTGGGCGGCCAACTCCATGTTCAAATCCCAGCAAGGGAGAACAGTGGAAAGCACAGTAGAACTGAACACCAAAGATGCCAGAACCCAGGCGCAAATTAGCAGAGCGAGAGAGAAGCAAAATACTGTTTTAATTAATCCTATCTTTTCCAAGATAGAGAATCTGAAAAAACCTCTCCTTAAGTGGAACCTAGGCAGTTGATGCTAGTGTAGAAGTATGGGGCCCTGAAAGTCATGTCACAGTGGCAGCAGCATAAACTTAAAAGGAGCGGGGAAGTGTGCGCAGCCTTCTTGCATTGTGAACAGCTCTGGTTCTTGCTCATGTGAGGGAACTGTCCCCTTCACGGGAACAACCCTTAGGGTAGCACGTGGAGTGGATGCCTGGCAAATCTGCGTCTTTAGGGGACGGCTCCCTTAAGTTGTGGCTGAGCTTCATGCGTTTCCAGCCACTCCTCTTCATGGGGACCATTCAGCTCGGGGGCCCTTTGCCGTGTTGCCAGGTAGCTGTCCTCTTCAGGGGGATGGCTGAAGGGCGCAGCCCCGGGAGGGCTCGGGGCCAAGGCAGGCCAACATCCGCTTCAGTGGGGACGAACAACGTTGGGCGAGGCAGGCAGTTCACCTCTCTCTGGGGATCGGCTCTGCGTGAAACCATTTGCGGCCACTCAAGGCAAGCGCCCTCTTCATGGGGGCGTCTTCTCAGCCCTGAGATCATGCCTGGCAAGCCAGCTCTTCCTCG